ACTTACATGTTTGATATCTTTTTTAATGTATTTCCTATGATGCTGTGGGGACTTATTATGAGGAAGAGGGTGATTAATTGAGCTAGCTTATTGCTGAATCACAATTAAATATGCAACTATGCATACTTTCTTCGGTTCAAACAGAATACAATGCCTTTGCTCCAATATGCCGAAAAGATCAAAAAATGAAAGGATTTAATGATTAACAGAAAATGATTAAACCACAATTTTGATTATCGATTACAGTAAGTCATTTCCAACCACAATTGCTGTAGGGCTGCAGCTAACATTTATTTATCGATGAATCTTCTAGTTATTTTCCAATTAATGGAAATCCAATTTAGTCTATAAAACATCAATTAATTTAAACTTTATTTTAATAAAATATGTAGGTCTATATCAGTATAAAATGGCTTTGAAAATTTCTCCCAGGACAAGGTGATTCAAATAGCTTGTTTTGTGCATTTAAAAGTCCAAAACCTTAAGATATTCTATTTGTTGTCATTTCATCGAAAAAAAGCACGTTTTGTTGTTTGGAGAGGCTGGAACAAAAAAAGATCTGACATATTTGAAAATGTATTTATTTAATTGTTTATTTGGCAGGGACAATGCACATTAATGAACACTTAAAACAATAAATATTTCAAGTGTAAATATGCCGGATTTAGCTTTGAGCTACTTTCCATCCGCAGTCCCTCACATAAAACATTTAAGAAAATGACATTTATAAACATAGCAGAAACAAATACATGATATGCAAAAAGTGCAAAAGAGTAAGAGCAGCATACACAAGTATTTACGACATGGCAATACAATATAGCAGCAACGACATATAAAGTGAAAAAGAAGATACAAGAGATACATAAAGTGCAAGAGGAGATACCCCTGTGTTAAAGTGCATTTAGCGGTGATTGCACGTCTGTTTGTTTCTCAACCATTCTTTGAGTTGACCTTTAAAACTATTGAGAGTGGGACAATCCCGTATTTCAGTTGGGAGGCTATTCCAGAAAGAGCTGCCTTTAATGGAAAGGACATTTTGTCCAAAAGCGGTCCGTCTACGGTGGACTTCAGTCTCCTCTGGTGTCCGACCTAGTGCAGCGTCCAGTGTGTTTTCTGTGGATGAATTCCCCTAAGGGAGGGGGGCGGGCCAGCCCCTGTAAACATTTATAAATAAAGCCTCATACTTTTAAAACTGACTTAAATGTCAAAATCAAGCAAATTATGATTTTTCAAGGATGGTACAGTGTGGTGATGAATATGGCTTTCTCTCAAAAAACGTTGATTAGCCTCGTTTTGAACAGGCTGAGGAGATACCATACGGTATATATGGAATTCTGTGAAAAGCGGCCATTAAGCCCTGTGTCACGTCCAATACATCTATTTGCGTAGAAAATAGCTTTGGAAGGCCGTATATTAAATAAAGCAGGCATGCAACTCCCAACACGATATCTAATGTGCGAACATTTTGGAGTTAATTATTTCGTAGGAGGACCTTTCGCATTATAGCTTGGTGCTCTTCTTGCATTCAGTTTGTGTCATGCTAAAAGCGATTAGCCCTCAGAAGTTAGCCCCCGGACCCTTCTAATGGGCCGATTTAATTTAGGCATGTGGGAGACTGCCAGGACCAAGA